GTTACAAGATACACACGTAGGTAATATTATTTCATTCATATTTATATTAAACCTACTAATAATATTATCACNCACGTATATGACCAAACTTCTATACAACCTATACTATTTATGGAAATATTAAAGCTAGAAAGGATATATTTTCTTCATTTATAAATGATGAAACTATAAAAAAAATTATGAGTTTGGTGAACCATAACTCTTTCTAATTGAAACCCCACAATATTGTTGGAAAAGAAAAAAGGTTATCGAGAAGAAAAGAAAAAAAACTCGAAGACTTGAAAAATAAACGGAAAAAAATATTGAAGCCTCTAATTGAAATAGAGTGTTTTCTTTGAGAAACGAGGAAAGTGAATACTTGGTGTCATCTAGAAGGTTTCTCTCTTCTTCTCTGTTTCCAGGGAGAAACAAAAAAAAAACTCGACGCCTTCTTTTCTCTGTGCGAAGAAGTTTCTCTCCGGCGATCCGGCGATGTTCATCCTCAGAGTCCACTCGGTTGACTTGGAGCGACCAATCTCCATTGAAGAAGAAGAATCTGGTTTCGGTTTCATCTCCGCATCATCGAAGAAAGCTCAGCCTCCCGATAAACTCAAACTCACCGAACGCAAAGGACTTATCCATCTCTATCGCAACTCTTCACATAGCTCGCTCCCAAACCCTAGCTCTCGATCCACCACTCTCTTCGTCGTCGCTGTTCCCAATTACCTTTCCTCTTTCGATTTTATCCGATTCTGTGAGTCCTGCATCGACCATGTCTCCGAAATCCTCTTCATCAGGTTCGGATTTTATGTGCAAGAATTCATTGGTGTTGATTGATTTTGATTCAGAATGTGATTAAGGAGTAGAATGATTTTGTTGATGGATTGTTAGGAATGATGGAATGGAAGATCGATATAGTGTTTTGATCACACTTTCTGATCAATCAGCAGCAGATGGATTCCACAAGAATCTGAATGGGAAGAAATATGCACCATCTGAGGTATTATAACATGGAATTGTTCTTGTTCTTTTTTGGGTTCACTTCAGAATTGCATGAGACCAACTTCTTTTCTCGGGGTTTTAGGCTGAGGTTTGCCATATTCTATATGTACTATCGGTGGAACACACGGAATTTGATGAGCTTGCTGCTTCCCCACCTGCTGGTTTTACTGAGTTACCTACTTGCCCGATATGTCTTGGTGAGTTGCTCTAAAGAAGACCACTTCCATGTTATCTTTAATCTGAATTATGCCTTTACTTCCTTTTCTAATATAGATATTTGGAATATTGACTCATGCAGAGAGATTAGATCCTGACACCAGTGGTATACTCAGCACACTTTGCGATCACTCGTTTCAGTGTTCTTGCACTTCAAAATGGACTTATCTGTCTTGTCAGGTGAGTGGTTCTCCTTCATGCCCTTTCAGTGCATTTTCACTTTATATGGTGTGTAATACATTTTCGGTGGCAGTGTTCACGTGGGTAATACATTTTGTTCCGTATGTTAGAGTTTTAATGCTTGCATGTTTCTGGCGTAAAATGTATCTGATTTTCTAGTTCTTAACAAGTACCTGGCACATGACTTACCACGTGCTCATTTCGTTTGTAGGTTTGTCGAATGTGTCAACAACAAGATGAGATATTAAGCTGTTCTATTTGTGGAAAAACAGAGAATGTATGGGCATGCCTTGTCTGTGGCTTCTTAGGTTGTGGAAGGTAATGCTTGGTTTGCGTTTCCATTGCAATAGGATTTAGATAACCTGAAATTAATAACCACATTTATATCTTCTTCAGAGGTGAGAGTTTCATTCACAGTTGATAATTTTTTGCAATTGTAGATACAAGGAAGGGCATTCTATCAGGCACTGGAAAGAAACACATCACTGCTATTCTCTTGATTTACGAACACAACAAATCTGGGATTATGTTGGTGACAGCTATGTCCATCGTTTAAACCATTCAAAAATAGATGGAAAGTCAGTAGAGATAAACACCCGTTGTTTGTCACACGAAGGAGACTGTGGCCTCTGCGAATGGAGTGAGGATACGGGATTTAGCGGAGCCATCTTCAACAGCAAAGTTGATTCAGTATGATTTTTAACCACCCTTAAATCATTTTCCCCCTGCATAAAGCATATGAATCAGTTTGCCTCAGTGGTTTTATGATGTTATTATTTGACTAAGTTTTTGTGGAACAGATTGTAAGCGAGTATACTGACCTTCTTGCGAGTCAGCTGGGGACACAACGACAGGCAAGTGGTCTTCTGATGCTTGTTTCTGTCTCTTCTTATTTATAGATATGAACAAGCTTAGAAGAGGATGAGATTGTAACCACTTAATTTGTATATATATGCAAGAGATCTCAATGACTTATAACGATCGTGATGTCTTTCAGTACTATGAATCTCTGATTGTTGAGGCGAGAAGCAAGCAAGAGACTAGTATTGCCGAAGCAGTTGAGCAGACTGTTGTTAAGAAAATGCAGGAGCTTCAGAATGAGATTGAAAAATGTGAAGCGGAAAAAAGTGAAATCACTGAAGTGAGAATCTCTTTTTCCTTGTTCTCTTTTGATCATTGTTCAATGCTTGAGAAATTTCCTTATGCACTGATAACACTGTGAACTATTAATTACGAGGTTTCAGGTTAATAGAAAGCTTATAAAAGAGCAGGAAACTTGGCAGAAGAAAGCCAAGGAAATAGAAGAGAGGTGCAAAATGTTTCCCTCTTGTTTAATTTACATAAACAATCAGCATCCATTATAGAGGATTGATTGGTTTTTTGGTGTTTATCCAGGGAAGCTGCAATGTTACGATCAAAAGACGAGATGATAGTTGATCTTGAAGAACAGGTAAGCAGCTTCTATACTCAGATTGAGAGTTTTGCTTTTTTACATTTAACGAGTGATAGTATATGACCTGGTAATAATGGAATGCACAGTTTAGAGATATAAAGGTTTTCGTCGAAGCCCAGAAAACCCTAAAGAAGATGTCATCAGATTCAGATGGTATACGCGAAGGAACCGTATTACCAGTGCCTATCAACGAAGAGCCAGTTTCCTCAGTGAGAAGGCAGAAGAAGTCAAACCGGAGAAAGTGAAGAGGATTTTTCATTTCTGTGATGCTTGTAGGGATTTTACTTTGGTGTTTGTATATTCAAATATTCAATAATACCAGATTGATCCAAAATCAGATTAAGAGGATTCAAAAGCTAAGGTTTGATAACTAATCTTTGATAAAATCTGAAAACAAAACGCCTTGTGTCGAACTACTGTTGATATCCGAATTTTGTACTGCAAGGTAACGTTTTTTTAAGTCCCCGAATTTGTTTCATCATAATTCTAAAACATGATTAACATTTAATACATCAAATTTAAATAATCAGTTTTGCTGAAATCGTAAACAATCAAAATGGTTGACCAACTAACAAAATTGGGAAATCGTAAACATGCTATTTATTTGTATTTAGAAAAATGGAAATTGGGTTTAAAACCTCTTTCAAAGACTTGGGGACAAAGTTTTTAGGTTTATTTTACATTTAACATATTTCTCTACGGTCTTAAAACTAGCCAGCCCTATTTTCTACCTCAA